CACCCCACCCACCCACCCACCCACCCACCCATCCATCCACCCATCCATCCATCCATCCATCCATCCATCCATCTATTTATCTATCTATCTATCTATCTATCTATCTATCTATCTATCTATCTATCTATCTATCTATCTGACAAGAACGCTGTAGAGAAAACACAAGCAAAATAAAAACATGCACAGTAATTCGAAAAACGAAGTATGACGTCGACACGACACATTTAGCACAGAGTAGAAAATAATCTCAAGCCGGATAGGGCACACATTAATATGACGTCATTGATTATCGAGTAAACATTCAATACAAAGGCAATTTGGTCTAATCTAAGTGGTTTGCGTGAAGAGTTTCTTTCATACAATTCTTCGGGTAGGGGCGAAGCCCCACCCCCGCGTAAGAACGTCTGAGCCCCCCCCCCCCCCCTCCCCAACTCAAAAGAAATTTCCTCATCGATACTCTATAATAAAATTACCGCCTAATTAATGTGTCTAATCTAAAAAGTGGTTTTCTTGCAATTTCTTTAATGCAATTCTTCGCGTAGTGGCTATGCGCGACACCAGTGTTTCTTTCAGACTTTTTCCTCCACGGAGAGGGGTGAGGGTACTTGAAATTTTCGGGGGCGGGGGTAGAATTTTCGGGGAGGGGGCGGACACTGGAAAAAGTATATAATTATATTTCGTTGAATGGGACGGTAGACATGTTTTTTTTAGGGGGGTGGGGGGGGGGGGGTGGGGTGTGGGGGGGGGGGGTGGTTTTAATTTAGACTTTTTCCTCCCCGGAGAGGGGTGGGGGTACTTGAAATTTTCGGTGGCGGGGGTAGAATTTTCGGGGAGGGGGCGGACACTGGAAAAAGTATATAATTATATTTCGTTGAATGGGACGGTAGACATGTTTTTTTTTGGGGGGGGGGGGTGGTGTGTGTGTGGGTGGGGGGTGGTGTGTGTGGGGGGTGGGGGGTGGTGTGTGTGGGGGGTGGGGTGGGGTGGTGTGTGTGGGGGGGTGGGGGTGGTGTGTGTGGGGGGTGGGGTGGTTTTAGTTTAGATTTTTTCCTCCCCGGAGAGGGGTGGGGGTACTTGAAATTTTCGGGGGCGGGGGTAGAATTTGGTGGTGTGTGTGGTGGTGTGTGTGGGTGGGGGGTGGTGTGTGGGGGGGTGTGGGGTGGGTGGGGGGGTGTGGGGTAGTTTTAATTTAGAGAAAAGAGACAGCACTATCAGCCTAGCGCCCGGTGTATCCTTCCTCAACGGGCCATTTTTCTCGTATTAAATAATGTTAGAAGGGAAATAAGAGATAATATTTCGTAGATGTGTATGCGTGACTGTTCTAAAATTAGCCTAAAAATTACTTTAAATTCAAATTTGTATAGGCCTATAGCATAAAACCAAAGCCATAACAAAATAATTTAACAAGACACTAGAAGTCTGTTTATAAGCCAAGGGAAGGCATGCACATAATATTCTGTTTTTATTCGATTTACGCAGTTGTCTTCTGTAGTATGTGTTTAGCTTCCAGTTCATATTTACAAAAGAGGCAAAAAAAAATAATTACAAGTAACTTTGAAAGGAATCGTTGTTTATTTGTCAATTTTCCATTAAGGTAGGATTGTAATAGTTGCGAGTTGCAGCTGAACAAGTGCTCACTATTGGAAGCTTACAAAGATGACCTCTGCCGTCACTACCAAAGAAAATATGCTGACCTCGAGTCAAGCATGGGGCATGACCATGAAGTGCCGCACCAGATGACACCCGATAGATAACTTTTTGACCGAATGGCTTAGAGATTTTAAAAAATGCGAAACATCTCTAGTTCAAGGCACACTCTCATCCGTATTAATTCCACTATAGGAATTGCCAAACAGGCCAAGAGAGAAGAAGCCTATAAATAAAGGCGTTACCGCTGTCCCGCCCGGTAATACAAAACCGGATGAGACTCGATTGCAGGGCATGGCATCTACCCCCCCCCCCCCCCCCCCACACACACACGACATGTCCCCCAACTGTCTCCCCACCCCGAAGTTTCACCCATTAAAACATTTGAGTTGTGAATACGTTGGAATTTAGCCGAAGTCAGTGTTTACGTCTTGATAATTAAAAATATTGTGAAGGAGGGAGTCTCCGGTAAAAAAAAAAACAACATTTTTTAATACTCGTTAGAAAACAGTTATTTCTTTACAGCTATATTAAAATACATCCGCATATGCATTTCCACACACAAAAAAAATGGTGTACAAATCTTGGTAACTATGACAACGGCGGCCATCATGAAAAATTAACCTCCTAGTAGGTTTTCCACCATTCATAAAATAAATATATATATTTTATGCCCAATAAATAATGAATTCATAACCTTATTCCGTATTTTGGGGTACTCAGCTAAAAATTGTAAATGTATATTTTCAAAATAATTTATTATTAATAAATAATTCAAGAGCATTCAGAGCTTTTCAAGTGTGCACATTGCTCTTCGCATTTATCTGTGTATGATGACGTCTAACTGCAGCGGAGAGCGGCCATTTTCCAAAATGAAAAAGATTAAATGCGATCTTAAAAGCACTATGGGTCAGTAGAGATTTAGTATGCTCTAACTTATGAGCAATGGGACGGAGTGGTCTAGCGATAGAGAGACGGACTGCTAACCCGTAAGTCTCGAGATAGAGTCCGGGTTCTAGTCAGTAGAACGTCCCTGAGTCCACCCAACTCTTATGGGTACCTAACTTACGTTAGGGAAAGTAAAGGCGGCTGGGCATAGTGCTGACTACACTATCTCTTCATATGCCGAGGTCACAGAAACAAGTGAACCCTACTTCACTTGCCCTATAGACCGTAAGGTTTGAAAGGAAAATTTTACTTTAGGTAGGTTGGTAGGTGCGTCATGATGTGAAATAATATTAAATACATAATTGTTATTTTGTTGCGAATGAATGTTGTTGCGAGAAATCTGACGAATGCATGTTTGATGACGCGGATGACAGAGAGTGAAGTTTTGCCATAGGAACGGGTTGTTATGGTATGCAAGCTAGGTAGTTCGGACTAGGGAGAATATGAGAGATACTTCGTGTAATGTCGATATCAAGGATAGTTTTATATTTATTTATACGAGAATAGCAGTTGAATAATTATTGACCAAGAAAATAATAGGCATTTTGTAAAGTGATTATCGCCTGTATCATGGTGATGGGAATGCACATGGTATTGGTATGCTTTAAATGGCAGTAGATCACGTGTTCAAACACGACACTCTCACAGTTGTGTTTTTTTGGTTGCGCATTTTTCTGTTTGCGTTTTTTTCTGTTTGCGCTTTTTTTCCGTTTGCGCTTTCTTCTGTGTGCGCTTTTTCTGTTTGCGCTTTTTTCTGTTTGCGCTTTTTTCTGTGTGCACTTTTTTCTCTTTGCACTTTTTTCCGTTGCGCTTTTTGTTTTGCGCTTTTTTCCGTTGCGCTTTTTTTCCGTTGCGCTTCTTTTTTGAGAAATCGGAAATAGCGTAAATTAGTACTTCAGGTCAATGGAAATTACTCAAAATTTGATAGAAGGTAGAGAATTAGATCCTTTACTTACATGTGAAATTTTATTTATCTATCTGAAATAGTACTCAAGTTATAGGCTTTTTAAAAATTCAAAGTAGAAAATGTACCACTTCCGGTTATCGGAAATCGCTTAAAAATTGAAATATGAAATTTCATCAACCTAGCTGTAACGGTACTCAAGTTATCGTGTTTAAACACACACAGACACACACACACAGAGACATACGGACACGATTGCAAAATTATGTTTTTCCGTATCAGTGGTGTGTAAAACGTCGAGATTTGTGAAGATCTCGATTTTTTTGCACGATTACAAGACTTTCTTTATAGACTACTTCTTATATATGAGAAAGTAAACAAGTTAATAAAAAGTCTAGTGACAATTTAATCGCAATTTCCTTATGTTATCCATAACAATTTTAAATCGAGATAAATCATATATTCAGCAAATAAATAATGCAACACAAGTAGTTTCAATAATTCAAAACAAACAAGGTAATTAAAAAGTCTAGTGACAATTTTAGCGCAATTTCCTTATGTTATCTAAAAATAGCTCTGTCGTAGCGTAAATCAAGAGCAGGGTTAGTAAAACCATTGGTTAAAATACATGTTTTATTTACAATAGAGTTACATGACTAAAAACCATTGCGCGCCTAGCTACTGAACGTGATGACGCAGCCATTGAACGTGATGGCGCAGCTATTGAACGTGATGACGCGTGTGGAGTGGTTGGATAAACATGCCTACTAATTCGGTCCAAATTTTAATTACTTCAAAAAAAATTTTGTGACCGAACGAAAGGATATTTTTGAAAACTTTCTTCGGCAATATTGTTCTAAATTATGGCAGGAATCGATTGGTAAATGTTTCAAGTCGCTAAGTGGTTTGTTGCCGAGATATGGGCCAAAAACTGCATTTTTTCGAGGTTTTTTGGCTTTTCCGGGAAATCCAGGTAGGAAACCCGGGAATTTTTTTGGCCTTTGTTCATCCTCGGAACTTGCTTAACATATTTGCTTTTGGAACTAGTCCTCGATATTGCTTAGTTGAGGAGGAGATACGACTTAAAGCTGCGGACACACATCCATCCATTCATACATTCCCAGAATTAATTAATACGCAATTCTCCAGAATGGAAATTGCGCTAAAAATTCTCCAGAATGGAAATTGCGCTAAAAACGGATTAAAAAGTGGTAATAAAAAGCTTGTCAGGGGAGGTAAGTCAACTCGCGTTATGAGACTATTGTTAAGTAAAATGTTAAGGCTTTAATAGAAGTATATTGTGATATATTTGTGCCAAATATTATACATAAATGAATAATAAACCTAAATCAATGGCTAGCTATATCAATATAGATTCTAGGCCAGAAATTAACTCTAAACAGGAGTGTTTGCGAGCCAGATTTGCTATATAAACACAAGCAATTTGTAAAAAAATAGTGACTTCCTCTGAATCTGGCGCTTAAAAGTTTACAAAATAAAACTTAAACAAGATGGCTGCAATAGTAAATGAGCATGGTTGCATCTGATGAAAACATCGCTAGTCTTCTTTTAATACTGAAAAGTGTTTATTCAATTGTTTAAAAACAGGTACATAAATGAAACAAGAAAACATTTTTTTGTATTTTTCAAAACATAAATCCTCCTCAAAATGTGAAATAATTAGAATTTAAGGAGTCACCTGTTTTTCACATTACTAGATCTATTCGAGGGCGATTTTACTTACCTAAAACGATAGATTACCATATCAATCTAGATCTAGATATTCCTACTAGCCTAGATCTAGAGATCTAAATCTAGATCTAGAAATAAATCTAGATCGTGGAGTTTTTATAATGACTTTTAATTTTAAATTGAACTAGAATACCCGTCATCCGTTGGATAACTGTGGGTTTCGGGGGTCATCCATCAAAAAACATCACGTCTGTCACTCAGAGGCATAGCGACCCTTCCCGGCGCCCGGGGACAAAGTTTTCGATTTGAACCCCCCCCCCCTCAAACTTTTGATGTGCACCCCCCCCCCCCCACTCAAACTTTCGATTTGAACCCCCCTCAACCTATCAATTTATTTTTCCAAACCATTTTGGCGCCCCAACATATGCCCCCCCCCTTCCCCCTCCCCACCTCCCCTTCCCCCCCCACCCCCCGCCTCCCCTCCCCTACCGTCCCCCCCCCCCCTCCTCGGTACGCTACTGCAGTGTCACTTATCCTCACAAAAAACAGACCCCACATTCAAATATATATTTTTTATCTTTTAAAAACACCGAAAACACCGATTTCGGACTATCCCTTCATAAACTGACGTCACAGGTGACCTACTCAACTCTACTTCACCTGCCCAGTGTCCTGCCAAGTCTCAGACAACATGTTTTTATCGTTTAAAAAACAATTCCAGCCGAGCATGTATCTGACCACACTATCCTTTCATATGCTTAGGACAAAGAAACAGATGAACTCTACTTCACCTGCCCTGTATCTTGCCAAGTTCAGATAGGCAACGTTATCATTCACATCTAAAAAAAAAAAAAATTGAAAAAAAAAATTTCATTGACATATTGGTCTAGAACCCGTGCCTCCTGCATGAGAGCTGACTACGCTACCATTTTAGCTATTTACTCGTGACGTCACAAGTGAATTTTTATACTATATATATATCTCCTTATGCAACTTGATTTACGGCGTATAGATTCTAGATCTAGATCTAAAAATAAGTCTAGTAGTACTAACTTTCAAATTAAATTTTATCTTAAATAAGCCAAACAAAGATTTATATAAAATAATTAAGGCCTGAAATAGATTCTAGATGTAGAATTTACATTAAGTCTAGATCTAGAATTTACATAGAAACCTAGTGACCTACATCTAGGCTAGATCTAGATCTAGAGTCTAGGCTAGATTCATAAATTTCCTTCGATAGCTGATCTTTAGATCTAGAGAAATTTATTGTAAAACTAAATGAAAAAGACAGTTGAACATTGATATAAGTGTTGGAACGTAATAAATACAGAAAACGGACGTATTGTTAAAGTTATGACCGACAGAAAATTAGATTTAGAACGCGTTAAACTTGTGAATGGGAACACAATTTTCTTCGATAGACGCCGCCATTTTATTGTACTAAAGAGTAAACAAAAACCTGTGACGTCACGGTCCCGCCGAGTCTAGTGGCTTTTCAAATATTTTTTAAAAAAATGGGTTAATCTGCATATGAATAAATCAATTAATTAATTAACGTCTTTAAATAAATTTGTGATCAACAGTCTGTCTGCATTAAAAAATTATTCTCTACCTGCATACCATTTTACAGCTTTCCAGATAGAGTCGAACATATCACAATTTTCGATCAGGCAAACAAATAAATATTCAAACATGTAAACAAAGTTGACTTTTAGTAGTATATAGATGTCTCCAGTTTTAAGATATTTTTTTTTTCAAAACATAGTCTAGTTATTAGTCTAGCTACTTTTTACTATAATATTGAAGTATTTCAAACCCTTTTGGTAGTTTTTTTTTTAAACTTAGGCCTAGATCTATATCTAGATCTAGTGATTAGATCTAAGCCAGATATATTTTGTACTTATAACTTGCAGGCCTATGAAAATAGTATAATAAAATTAAAACAGTTTGCATGATAACTTCATCAGGTCATTTCATGAATACAAATAAACATATAAAATCACAAAACCATAGGTAATTTCTGAATTCTGAAGCCAACCTTACATTTAGGCTAATACTGAATTAATATTAAAAAAAATTACATTAAAGCTTGAAATTAATAGAACTTGTAATTAAGAAAGCAAGCTTCAATTCTAAATACTACAAGATATAATAACAAATAAACAATGAAACAAATTGAAAGCTTTTTTCAACTAAATTAGTCGAAAAGATTTTTATTTTTTCCGATATTGACCAAAATAAGTTTTTAAAGCTTAGGCCTAAAGTTTTTACAAACATAACTCAATTTTATTAGGCCCCTGTAAACAGGGTAAATTGGGCAGACGAAGTAGAGTTCATATTTCTTGACCTCTGCATATGAAGTACCCATCAGAAATGGGTGGACTCTTAATTGAATTCTATTAAACAAACATTTTGATATAGATCTATAACATTCCAAACAACATTTGTAGAATCTACATTTCTGTTTCCTAATGTGGTATTTTACAATTGAACATTCATCTCAAAACATTCAATAAATTATATTAATGTCATTTTATAAATTTATATAAACTATTTACTTTCACCTTGGTGTAAAAAAATGTAGGTATGAGCAAACTGATTTCAAGAGTAAGTAAGAATCATGTCTTTTCTTGCTTACTAGCTTTAAAAAAAGTGAATTTGACTTTTTTACCTGCGTTTTAGGTTCCATTTCTATATATTTTATTTGCGACACTAAAAAAATTATATTTAATCAACCGATTATGCTAAATTAATAAAATTGGTACTGTTGGGATGCATTTTTTAAGCTCTACAATTATATGCTATTCTTTTTATTATTTGAAGAGATTTTAAATTTTGTGAGACTAACTAGACATTACTAATCTAGATTAGATCTAGTCGAGGGCGATTTTACGTACCTAAAATAATAGATTACCAAAATAGGTTGGCATTTAGGGGTCGGCGTGGTCGAGTCGGTAAAGCTCATGGTTGCTAAACCGAAAAGTCTCGAGTTCGAACCCCCGGGCAGATGAGGCTCGTTAGCTGGGGACAGCCACTCTTCTAGGAGAGACAACTCCAAAATTAAACAACTGCTGCCTTGTAGTTTGTTCTTGGTTGGACAAAGGCTATGGAAGCAAATCCAAAAAGAAAAGCAGGCTGAAATCGGAGTCAATGGCCTCAATGGCGCATAACCAGTTGACACGTAACGCTTAATTGTGTTGGAGGCATGGTCGAGTCGGCAAAAAGCTCATGGTTGATAAATTCGAACAAAGTCTCGAGTTCAAACGCACTGGCAGATAAATCTCGATCCCCTTCAACACTAATAATTAAGAACGAAGAAGAAGAAGAAGAAGAAGGTTGGCATTTAAAACTGTTGGGTCTATAAACTAGGATTTTTTAAAAAAATAATTAATAATAATAGATCTAGGCTGTAGCCCTAATAAAAGTAAAAAGTAAAAGTAATTAAAAACCCTTACAAAATTAAATTAAAAGCCTTAATCTTTGTGATTAAGGCTTAATGCTTAAATTAACAATAATCATATAAGCATTAATTATCAACATGCTATATTACTATATGTCATATGTGCAATATTGCCCATTGACTCCAATTTCAGTCTGTTTTCTTTCTGATATTTTTCTTTCTTAGAAACATTAATGCAGCATTTGTTTTTTATTTTTGATTCTTCTGTCCTAGAGGAGTTGCTGCTGCCTGTTATCAATCCCATACTAGCTTAATTGTTCAAACTCTGACTTTTCTTTTTAGTAGCCATGATCATTAACTGACTGACCCTTGTCAGCCTTTATCTTTATGAAATTAATCAATAATTATGCAAATGTTGTTATAGATGTAGTCACAATCTAAAATCTAAAAGAACTCATAGATGCACCGTGACAGTGATTGTTCACACTTCACACCTCACCATAACCCAATATATTGGACTTTCAAAATGTCAAACTTGAATTTCTTCTTCTTCGTTCTTAATTTTTGGTGTTGGAAGGGATCGAGCCTTATCTTCCATAGGGTTTGAACTCGAAACTTTTGTTTGTATTGATTATGAATGTCTATTTGGATTATAATATTAATATAATATTAATATTTTTTAGGGCACGGGTCTTTGGACATTTTTGCATTCAGGCGTTTGTTGCATTTGGGCATTTGTTGCATTTAGTCAAGTGTCCATTAATAGGTTTGTTGCTTTCTAGCAATTTTCCATTCAGTAAATTGGTATTTGAGCAAGTATCTTTTCAGAAAACATCCTACTCCCAAAATTATGCACACAGCTTTTCACTGCATTAGAAAATAAATATAATCACAACTCAATCTATTTTGAGTGTCATAATAAATATAAAAGGTCTACTTTTGTTTTACAAATAGTAAACAAATCAGCCAGCTAGTAGGTCTTCTTTTTTCTACTGGACAAAAGTAAATAAATATTTATAACATTGTAAATAGATTGAGTGTAATTACAAAATATTGCATTTCTATTACTCAAATAGGTAGGATAGTCAAGAAAATTCTGATGTCATGCCATGCAACTTCCTATAAGTAACTAGGTACATTTTAATCCATATCTAATATTTTATTTGATATAAATAGTAGTTAAAAATATTTTTTTATACTTATTGTACAATTTTTGCAGATTAAAATAAAAATATTTTGACTCAAATTTAGGATAATTTAAACTGTTTTCAGATTAATTGATCACAGCAGTGGCTTGCTTACTTCAGCCAAATGTACTAAAACTAAACCAGTTCAAAGAAACTAAATGCAAATTCCTCCATCCATTTACTTTTGATAAAGCTGATTTGTATGTCCTAGAAGGAAATGAATAAAAATGAAGGAACATTTAAAGATTTATAAATTTTGTTCAAGATTGTAACTTCTAAATAAAACCACTAAAAAATTCTCTAAGAGTTTTTTGTAGAGTTGGTTATGTTTAAGACTCATGTTTTATGTGTAGAAATTGTTTAGTTAGCCCAATTCTAATTTGCCGTTACATTTCCTTCTGTCTAGTAGGCCTACTTAATCATTTTTAACTTAATAATTATTTTATGAATGATTTTTGCTCTATATTCTATATTGTAACTATTGGCTTGTTTTGAGGCAAAATTTCTTTTTTTTATAGTGTTTAAACATTGTTTCTTCATTACAAATTTTTGTTCAATAATATGCATGTCTTTTTTAACTGTAACTATCGGCTTGTTTAGAAGCAAAATTTGTTTTTTAATACTGTTTAAACATTGTTTCTTCATTAAATTGTAATAATCTTTTCCCCATTGTTTAATCTAAAGCTGTAAAAAAAAAATGGAAGAAGAAACGAATTTTAATGCAATGTATAGAGCAATAGAAAAAAACTGGGAAGTGAAAGAGGAAGTGAAACCAGATATTTTAACTGGAGAGTTAAATTCAAATGCACTGTCAGTATTTTCAATTTTTGAGGATAACAATCCAGGTGTAAAAACATTTTTAAAGCTCAAAGACAAGGAATCAGATGCATCAATATGTCCAAATTTTGAAAATAAGATTCAAGATGGTTCAAAAGTACCACTTAACATTTCATCTGATTCGACTGCTTGTATTGAAAAATTGTCTCTTTTAATTTATAATGATGTAAAAGAACTTAAGAATAGGAATACAAGTTCCATTGTGCTTTCTTTTCCAAATAATCAGATAATTCATAAAGAAAACAAGACATACTGGTGTGATTTGTGTAATAAGCAACATCTTACCTTAAAACAACTTGAAGTGCATTTAAAAAGTCACACAGGAGTCAAGCAGCAAAATTATGTTTTTCATTCAAAACTACATAGACTAAGTCTATGCATATCTAAACAAGTAAAAACTGTTTCTAGAGAAAAACATGAATGTAATATCTGTCTTAAAAAGTTTGTTGATAAGTCAAATTTAAATAGACACAAAAAAATTCATTCTAGAGTTAAATTTGAATGTGTTGTCTGTAATAAAAAGTTTGCAGATTGCTCATATTTAAAAATACATATAGAGGCCCATAATAGAGGTCGGCAAAATGAATGTGATGTTTGTCATAAAAAGTTTCTCGAAAAGAGGACTTTAAATAGACACAAAGGAAGTCATTTTGGAATTAAAAAATTTGAATGTGATGTCTGTCATAAAAAGTTTCTCGAAAAGAGGCATTTAAAAAGACACAAAGATATTCATTCTGGAGTTAAATATGCATGTAATGTCTGTAATAAAAAGTTTGCAGATAGCTCATATTTAAAAATACATACAAAGGCCCATACTGGAAGTACGCAACATCAATGTGATGTTTGTCATAAAAAGTTTCTACATAAAGTGCATTTAAATAAACACAAAAAACTTCATTCTGGAGTTAAATATGAATGTAACATCTGTAATAAAAAGTTTGCAAGTAACTCATATTTGAAAATACATACCAAGGCCCATAATGGAGGTACACAACATGAATGTGATGTTAGTCGTACAAAAATTCTCCAAAAGAGGAATTTAAACAAACACAAAGAAATTCATTATGGATTTAAATATGAATGTAATGTCTGTAATAAAAAGTTTGCAAATAGCTCACGTTTGAAAATACATACAAAGGCCCATACTGGAGGTATGACACATGAATGTGATGTTTGTCATAAAAAGTTTCTCCAAAAGTATATTTTAAATAGACACAAAAAAATTCATTCTGGGGTTAAATATGAATGTGTTGTCTGTAATAAAAAGTTTGCAGATAGCTCATATTTAAAAATACATATAGAGGCCCATACTAGAGGTACTCAACATGAATGTGATGTTTGTCATAAAAAGTATCTCCTTAAGAAGCATTTAAATGGACACAAAAAACTTCATTCTGGAGTTAAATACTAATGTAATGTCTGTAATAAAAAGTTTGCAAATAGCTCATATTTTAAAAGACATACAAAGACTCATACTGGAAGTATGCAACATGAATGTGATGTTTGTCATAAAAAGTTTCTTGAAAAGAGGAATATAAATAGACACAAAGTAATTCATTCTGGAGTTAAATTTGAATATGATGTCTGTAATAAAAAGTTTGCACATAGCTCATATTTGAAAATACATGCAAAGTCCCATACTGGAGGTACGCAACTTGAATGTGATGTTAGTCATTAAATATTTCTTTGTGAATTTAGTTTTAGAATTCATAGAAAATTTATTCTGGAGGTAAAAACTAATATTTAATGGAAGTCTTTTTAAAACAAATACTTATTCAGACACTGTATAAATGTTATTTGCTTTAGAAAATTGAAGTAACTATCTATTTATCACATATTAACAAAACCATAACCTACATATGGTCACTTAAATAAATTAAAAGCCTTGCAAATAGCTTCTTAACTTAACTAAGCATGTTCTGTTATCAGATTTTTTAAATAAAATACAAAATGATGTTATCTGTAGTAGATTACAATTAACATGGAATAATGCAGTAACAGCAATAATTTTTAAAATTTATTCTTGTAATTTTTCTTATTTAATTATTAGAGCTTTTGTTTTACATCTATGAGTGTAATATAACTTTCAGTTATCATTTTTAAACTTTAAAATTGTTTAGGAAAAATATTGCATCTATTTGGCATTATCTGAAAAGTGGTTGCACATTTTTAGTTTAAACTGTCACAATATGTAACCAGTATATATTTATGAAATGCATATACTGGATAAGCTAGGTTTGCTGTATACTTAGTCATAGACATATTTAATTTTTAATTTCCTTTTTATGTATGAATTTTAATATTACTAAGTGTTTTTAAATCTCGGAAGTTGGACTTTTATTTAATTTTGTTACTGTTTTATCTAGATTGCTTTCATTTGTATTATTTTTATGGACACAAACAGTAGTCCTGAATCCACTGTATTCTTGTTGATATACATTGTTGAATTTTTTTCTTGTTTTTTCTTGTTTTTTTTCTCTTCAACTTTTATATGCTTAAAATCAGATGTGAATGTTAATTGTTATTATTTGTTATTATTTATTATTATCGGTTATTATTTTCATTTTAATGATTGCATTTTTTGGGTTTGATCTGCCACCTTAAAATGAGATGAAGGATGGTTTCATTATAAAAGTGCAGAAACAGTATAACTGCTTTCACATAAAAAACAATTTAAAAGGTGGGAAAAGCAATGGAGAAAAAAAAAGTCGAATAAATGTTTTGCATACTGAAGATGGAGGGGCGGCATGGCCTAGCGGTAGAGAGCTAGACTGCTGAGACTAGAGTATCGAGTTGGAATTGGGGTACAGATAAGTGGAACATGCAATAAGTCCACCCAGCTCTAAATACTCTAATGGGTACCTAACTCATGTGACGGAAACAAAGGCGGCTGGGTTTAGTGTTGGGTTTAATGCCTATCCCATGTGTCTTGGGTGTTGATACTACAGATTGAAATGTGCTATGTTTTGATTTAACTTAAACTACTGTGCTCTTCTTGTTAATAATTAGATATTAAACCAATGGTTATTTTGGTCTAGTTTACAATAAAGATTGCTTTACTTCAAAGTAAAAATAAACTGTTCCCGCCTTTTACATAATTCTTTAATTTAAATTATAATTTTCCCTCTAAATGTCAAACAAAACAGAAATCACACAACGAAACTAATTACCTGCACAAGAGTCCTAATAGTACCACTGGTAAGACAAAAAAGTACCAAAGGATAAAGATTCTAGAGATAATAAGCTTAGCACTAATGTGTTAATTTCTACACATCTATTTGTAAGTGGATTACCTTGGTTAGTTTTCGTAAAACGTTTAGTGCCACTACGTGAAGGAAAGATTCTAAGAAGTTATATAGAACAGAGAGTCTATGAATTTATAGTATACATTTTAATTAACCTCTCGTATCAACCATTCCCGATATACCATGGGCAATCTCAATATTTAATGTGAGTACTGGGTAGCTTAGTTTCCAGTTAGATTGGATTATCAATATCTCCTGAGGGGTCTGGTTATCCATAAATGACGTCAAGCTTTTTTTGACGATTTTACCTCCCCCCTCCCCTTTTGTAGACTACGAAAAGGGCTTTGACAATGTGAAGAGAGATTTTATCTAGATCAAGAAGCAAATTATATAATATTAATATGCCCCCCCCCCCCCGCCACCCGAGATAATTAAAATCTATAACGCTAAAAATATATGAAGACTCTGCCTATCTGTCAAATACAATTTCAATAATTTCAGTGTTTATTCCAGACTTTTTCTCGGGGGGGGGGGGGGGGGGGGGCGGGAGGGGCAATTGAAATTTTCCGGGAGGGGGGGGGGGGGGGAAGGACACTGTTAAAAGTATATTATATTTACCATATAAATTTCGTTCGGAGGGCGGTAGACTTTCTTCGGCTTTTAAAACTACTATTACTACTAGATCTAGATCTACTACTATTTCTAATAATAATAATAATAATATAAAAAATGCGATACTAATTTAGTTTTGCGAGTTTCCAATGATAAGTTGAACAACGGAAAGAAGTTCATTGCCGCTGTGTACAGTTCGAAGCAACTTTGCAAGTAAGAAAGATATTCTAGATCATCTAGATTTTCTAGATCTAGACTAGTAGAATCTAAATTTAGAATCTAACCTAGATCTAATTATTCTAAATTAAAAATAGTTAAGTATGATAGTAAAAAAAAAGTAGCATTTAAAACCATTTTTGAATCTAGATCTAGTTAGTGGCTGTCTAGTCACTGTCTCGTCTAGCTAGATCTAGAGTAAAGTTCCACGCGCGGTTAAAACACCGGTGCGGTCATCGCCTGTTTATCGCTTCGTACAATATTTGTTTTGATGTTTTATACGAAACTACCGATATCTGCTGTAAACCTGTCCATTTCTAAATATATCCAGGTCAAATTCTTTTGTTTTTCTCCTTCTGGAAGTCGAGTTTTTAAATTTTAAAGTTTCGAGGTATGACGTCGAAGGCGATTCGGTAAAACTCCATTTCAGCGTATTTTATTCTCCGCTTCTCGGCTACCTCCAGATGAGCGTATTTTATTATAATAACCGAAACACACCAAAACATTAGGAAAACACGATTTATTTATTTGTATTGTATTTTTGTTTTAACAAATTATTAAAAATGAATATTTAAAAAAACACGATTTATTTATTGTATTGAATTTTTGTTTTAACAAATTATTAAAAATGAATATTTAAAAAACACGACTTATTTATTTGTATTGTATTTTTTGTTTTAATAAATGAATAAAAATGAATGTAAACCACAAAAAGACTGACTGAAATGCTTTGTTTGTTGGTTACAAATAATAAAAAAGGTAGTCACACAAATTCAATTCAATGCAAAAAGTAATAGTAATAATATTCTTTTAACAAAAAATAAATAAATATAAAATGATGATTTTAATTTCAAATTGTTATATATCTGCATCTTCGCCATGTAGAATCCAGTTACGTCAAACCCCAAATGGGTTGGCAAAATATATTTTTCCATGCTCCCGATCTCCCGGTAACTTCCGGTTAATTTTTGTTTAGTGTTCCAATCTTATTCAAAAATCCAAAAAGTGCTGTATTTAAAAATATATATATATTAACATTTGTGGTTGATTTTCGTATCAGTTCTGTTTATAATTTATTTAATTGTTATAAACTATGCAACATGGCAGGTAGACCAAAAGTAGAACGTACTTCCATTGTAGATCCTGCCGAAATTTTAGATGCCGCATTCGTTGAACATGAAATCTGGTGCATCGCAACACTGGCACTAAACCTAAATGAGACAGAGTCTGCCTTGATATGGCTAGCCAAGCGTAGGTTGCTTCGCAATACTATGATTTGTGATAGCTGCAAAGAACTATGCAAACTAATGACATATCGCCAAGGAATAGATGAGAAGAGGTGGGCGTGTCAACCATGCGGATTTAGGAAAAGTGTCCGTGAAGGTTCATTCTTCACAAAAAGCCACTTGACCTTGAAACAGATAATAATGTTGATTTACTGCTTTGCGCAGGATATGCCCCAAAGTCTTAGCAGACATGAGGCGCAAATTGAGAATGAAAAAACTGTGATTGATTGGTTTAACTTTTGCCGGGAAGATTCGGCGAGATTTTTGGAGCGGCGGCGAACTGAGATTGGAGGCATGGACGAGCATGGAAATCCAATAATTGTGGAGATAGACGAGTCAAAATATTTTCATAGAAAATATCATCGCGGTGCATGGCATGAGGGCCATTGGGTTTTTGGAGGGGTAGAAAGAGGATCGGGCAAGTGTTTTTTGATAGAGGTTCCGGACCGGACAGCTGCCACTCTGGAGCCAATCATATTAGACCATATTCTGCCTGGAAGTCATATCATATCTGATGGTTGGGCCTCATACAATAACATTGGCAATTTGGGGAACGGTATATATACGCATTCAGTGGTGGTCCATGAGCGCCATTTTGTGGACCCTGACGATGCCGACATCCACACGCAGAATATAGAAAATCTGTGGATGAGGGCCAAAAGGAAGCTAAAACGACAATTCGGAACCAGCCGAATTCTGTTTCCATCGTACTTAAAAGAATTTGAATTTCGGTGTTCCGTTGTAGGGGGGAATGTTTTCAGCTCATTCCTTTTGGTGCTGGCTGAATTGTATCCAGTCTAACTCTACTATCATCCACTATTCTTCAATACTACTTTCTAAAACCTAATAAAAAATCTATCGGTTTTAAACTTCAACTGCTATCTAAGTGTTCTACTTTCTCTTTGGTTGGGCTATACATCTTTCTGCTGATTTCTACCTAGTGACCAATGGCTTCCTACTTGAATTGCTGAACTATTTCTGTTGCATAAACGTGTGTCATCACGCTTAGTAACCTGTCACAAGTTATTTTGTGTAGGCCTACTTTTTAAAAAAAGGCATTTGTCTCCTGGTGAAACTGATACACTGTTAATTATTCTTTATTATAGTTTTGTATTGTATTTATGCTATATCTTACTATGTTATTTAAATTCATAGAACTATCATTTCCAATATCTTGATATAATTATCAAGTATGTTTCTGTATGAGTACATTTTTCATGATTTTTGTATTTCATCTAAATGTACAAACTTTGTGTTTTTTTTTTATTTGACAGTTTTACAAAAAAACTGAAAAATATTTATACTGTATAGTTTATGTTGTTTACATTCATAGAACCATCCTTCCCAATATTTTGGTTTAATTATCATGTATGTTTTTTTTGTATGAGTAAATTTCTGACTTAAAAAAAAATCATTAAAATGTAAATAAAAAATTGTGCTTTTTTACTTGTCAGTTTAGTCAAAACTTTAAGAAATGTCATAATTTGATATAATAAATTTGTAAATTTGTATTGTGGGGTCATCCATAAATGACGTCACGCTTTTTTGGACGATTTTACCCCCCCCCCCCCCTTCCCCCATTCCGGCAGCATTATTAATTATTATTATGCCTTTCATTCAGTTTAGTTGAAATTGAACACTTATTTGTACAAATTGTGCATTTCTATTTTTTGTAACCAACAAACAAAGCATTTCAGTCAGTCTCTTTGTTGTTTTTATTCATTTGTTAAAACAAAATAAAAATAAATAAATCGTGTAGCATTTCAGTCAGCCTGCTTGTTGTTTTCATTAATTTTTATTCATTTGCTAAAACAAAAATACAATACAAAAAATAAATCGTGTTTTCCTAATGTTTTTGGTGTGTTTCGGTTGTTATAATAAAATACGCTCAACTGGAGGTAAACAAGCAACGGAGAATAAAATACGCTGAAATGGAGTTTTACCGGCGATTCTAGTTCCCCGTATGAAAAACACTAGGTCCCGGATGAGATGAATAAACCAACCAATCAAAGCTTTTTACAACTAGGTTAACTATAAATAGCTTCTACAATATGTGCGGGACACTGTACATACGATAGATTAGGCTAATAAAGCAACCTGATAGGTGAATAGGGGTGTCCGCAGCTTGGGTGTCGATTTGGGTGGTTTCACCGCGCTGCGTAACCAACGACTTGAGCTAGACTAGCCTAGTTCTAGATGCTCTACATTTCAAGCTAAGCCTAGAATCTGTATAATTTCTATTTTTTTCTGCTGTTTTAAATTATTTCGATCATCTACTTCTTCTAAATCTAGTTTGTGTCTCTACATACAAGCATATCTAAGCAAATGTTACGTTATGTCTTGTCAGTGGTTGTTACGTCCCTTTGTTATGATTATTATAGTTGCGTCCCTTGAGTCATCACTGGGTCAACTTTTAATGTCGTTAATTAATTTAATTAACATGTTTTTAATTTGGTTTTGAAATCTATTAATTAATAATACAATCAACAACACGTTTAAAAGTGTAAAATATTTATTTTATTTATTAAACTAGGATTAAAACGTATAAAACACGATCGTTACGCAAGCCGGTTCAGATGGCCGCAGGGAAAAAAAAGAGGGGAAAAAAATATCGCAAGTAGCACGTCACTAAAACATGAATATCTCAAATTCAATGCGTAGGAATATAAAATGATTGATACATATTAAGAGTAGAAAGGCAGAGGAATAATATAGTACTTTGGGTTTGTTTCTGTGTTAAACGGTTACAAAATAGCGCCCGATGAAAGTCGGGAGTTCGCTATGTGTGACCGCGCGTGGAACTTTACTCTAGATCTAGAATCTAGATCAAGTATTTTTATAATCAAAACTTTTTAAACTTCAAAAGCTAGGCATTTAGACTCATTTAGAGCCATTTAGTTTATCTAAATCTAGATCTAAATCTATAGGTTAAATAACTAAATAATAATTACTATTTACTGCATTTAGTATTTAGAGTCTGTTAGAGTTAGTCCAGGGGTCGGCAACCTTTTGATACGCAAGAGCCAAAAGTTACAATTTACAAACTTTCCCAGTTTTTAAAGAGCCACAACATTTTTAGTTCAAAATTAGGTAAATAAAGTTGATTTGTTATTTTAAATAAATTATTTATTAAATAGTTTTAAATATGAAATAATATTTATTCATATAAAAACATAGACATGTTTCGCCAGAATAGTAAAATTAGCAATCAAATAATAATATTATTCTAGGACTATCTCAATTTACTTTAGAAGCTGTTAATTTTAATTTTATTTTTTCTATATGGATATCACCGGTTCAGGAGGTGTCTCCCTTTAGCCAGTCAGGCCTCAACACGGCAAACGCCTTCTAACTGGCTTGGATATCGGTTTGAATAGCTTGCATCGTTCGCTTCTATTCTTTGGTTCTCACCAGGCTTATCTTCCATCCCACTGTTTACAGGGTAAAGTCCTACCCTACCGTCCAGTAAAAATAAAATTATATAACTATTAATATTTGTGCAAGGAGCTGGAGAGCCACAGGTTGCCGACCCCTGAGTTAGTCTCATAAAAATTCAAATTTCTTCAAATTATATAGATCAACACAAAGGCCCAATTCAATATATTACTGATCTTTATTTACATCTCAAATCGACTCCTACCATAACTACATCCTAACACATAACTACCTACTAAAACTATCTAACTACAACTAACACTTGACTTCTCCCTACACGCTCCCATGATCATCCCTAACACCATCTACATTTTAGCTCCTACATCTTTCCCTAGTGCTACCTATCTCTAACTCTACATTTCTACGTTCTACATCTATCCTCTAGCGCTACCTATCTCTAACTGCTGACCCTCGCTTCAGTGGTCATCTGACCGTAACAAGTGGCCGGTCATCTTCTGTAATTCTACTGGTCCTGGTCATCTCCTGTAATTCTACTGGTCTATCTTACTATGCTATTCTCTGTTTCTGCTGTCTTCTGTTTGACTTATCTGATGTAAACTTGCATCATCACAACATACGTTACTCATTCTGCAGATGCAAATAAAAAATATTAAGAATCATAAACAAAATTTTAGGAGAAATTAAAAATGTACTCTGATTGACTGATCACAGTGGTGGCCTACTCTAACCAAAGTTACTAAAACTAAATGCAACTGTATCCATCCATTTATTATTATTGTAGCAGTTATTTTTATCATAGAGGGAAAACTTAAAAAATAATGGTCACTGAAAATATTTATAAAATTAGTTTAAAATTGTAAATAGCATAACCAAATAAAGGTCTAAAGAATACTTAAGCATGAGTAGTGTGGACATCATTGGCATAAAGGTATATTTAAAAAGGGTTCATACAGTCAAAGTAAGTTGCCTAAATAGTCAGTTTGGATGAGATGCTAGTATAATTTTTATGCCTTGAATTAGTGATGCTAGTCTGCTTTTACTTTACCTTCTGTCTTGTAGGCCTACTTGATTTACTTTAATTTTAAATTAATTTATGTATGATTATGTAGTTTAAAAATGTGCATTTTGGATTGTTTAGAGACACACATTTTTATCCATATTGTTATTGTATTGTTTAGAGACACACATTTTTATCCATATTGTTATTATATTGATAATTTATTAGATTAACAAATTGTCTAATCCCAAGATGATTACATTAAATTGTTTGTATGAAAACATTATGCTTTGAATGTCTAGTTAGAGAAAGTTTGTTAATATTGAAAGTTATTGTGTTTTTTATACCATTAATTGTAACTTTTTTATTTCAATTTTTAAGCTAAGCTGTAAAAAAATGGACGAAGAAACTAATTTGAATGCATTGCATGGTATAACAGAAGACCAGTGGAAGATTATGCTAGATTGAAACCTGCTTTGTTAATTAGAAATTGACAATCAGATGCATTGCCAGTCTTTTTAATTTTTGAGAATAAGAAACCAGATGTACTGACATTTTACAATATAGAGGATATGAAGCAGATGAATCAACATTTTTCAATATTGAGGACAGGCAAACAGATGCATCATTATTTTCCAATTCTGAAAATAGGATTCAATATGGTACAAAAGTATAGCACAACATTTCACTAGATTCAGTTGCTTATATTGAAAAATTGTCTCATCTGATTTATAATGATTTTAAAGAATTTAAGTATAAGAATACCTAATACATAGTACTTTCCTCTTTGTTAGGAAGCTAATGAATAAAGAAAACACAAACTGGTGAGAATTGTGTGATAAATGAGGTGTGAACTTAAATCAAATGGCACTGCATATGAAAAGTCACGCAGGAGTGAAGCAACATTAATCTATACTAAATAATTCAAAAGCTCACAGAGAAACTCTTTCTGGAGCTCTTAATTTATTTGTTTGTCAGAAGAAGCTTGTCAGAGTCAGTATTTTATTTGAATATGTAAAATCTCACTCAGGAGATAAACATGAATGTGATGTTTGTTTTAAAAAGTTTGTTAAGAAGTCTTATTTAGAAAGACAGAAAAATTCATTCTGGAAAGGTAAATGTGAATGTTATATTTATCATAAAATGTTCAAACTAAAATCTTATTTATCTAATAATTCAAAATTTAATTTAAAGAATAAACATGAATGTAATGTTTGCCATGCACAATTTGTCCATAAGTGGTATTTGAATGCACACAAAAAAATTCATTTTTTGGGTAAACCTGAATGTAATGTTTGTCATAAAAAATTTGCTTCAAAATCTAGCTTAGATATACACAAAAAAATTCATTTTTTGGGTAAACCAGAATGTAATGTTTGTCATAGAAAATTTGCTGCGAAATCTAGCTTAGATACACACAGAAAAATTCATTCTGGAGATAAATATGAATGTAATGTTTGTCATAAAATGTTTACTCTAATATCATATTTAAAAATACATAGGAAATATCATCATGATCATGGTAATTTGCATTATGAATGTGATCTTTGTCATAAAAAGTTTATTCATAAGTTTAATTTAAAATCACACAAAAAACTTCATTATGGAGTTAAATATCAATGTGATCTTTGTCATAGAATTTTCAAACTAAAAAAATATCTATCCAACCATATAAAAATTCATTTAATAGACAAGTTTGAATGTAAGGTTTGCCATAAAACATTTTTCCATAATCGGAGTTTTAATATACACAGTAAAATCCATTCTGGAGATAAATATGAATGTGATGTTTGTCATAAAAAATTTTCACAGGAGTTATATTTAAAAACACATAGAAAAAATCATATTGAAGAAATGCAACATGAATGTGATATTTGTCATAAAAAATTTGCCCATAAGTTTAATTTAAATTCTCATAAAAAAATTAATTCTGGAGATAAATATGAATGTGATGTTTGTCATAAAATGTTTAAAGTTAAATATTATTTGTCTAGACATAGAAAACTTCATTTAATAGATCAACATGAATGTGTTGTCTGCCACACAAGTTTTGCCCTCAAATCTTATTTATATAAACATGTAAAAATTCATTCAGGAGACAAAAAACATGAATGTCCTGTTTGTCAAGAAAAGTTTAAATTTAAATATGATTTAAATAGTCATACAAAAATTCATTCTATAAACAAAATATAAATTGGGTATAGGGCATTAAATGTTTATCCAAAGGTCTAGTCCCTATAGACATATATGAATTGTTATTTGTATTAAAAAGTTGAAACAACAATCCATACATCTGTTATACCATAAAAATGCTTGTGATAATATGTGTTGCATTTTAAAATAAATTTGCCTTGTAAATCACTTCTTGACCTCAACATACTTTCTCTGTCATCCAATATTTTTGAAAACAATGTTATCTGTAATAGAATGCAAGTATTATGGAACAGTGGCGTAGGCAGGGGGGGGGGGGGTTAGGGGGGGTCATAACCCCCCTCATAGACACCTCAGTATATATATAAAGTCTGAGGGGGGTGCAAATTGTAAGTTTGAGAGGGGGGGTGCAAATCAAAAGTCTGTTATGGAATAATACAGCCACCTTATTAAAAACACTATAACAATTTAATTTTGTGAGGTAACAAAAAAATATGACATTTGATTTCTGTAGTTCTTGTAGACAATTTATTTTTTATATCTAATGTACCTCAACCAATGTAAAATGACTTAGAGTGAGTGTATGTAAAACAGTAGGTAAAAAAAGTTTCTGCCAATTCCTAAACAGTCACACTACATAAAGCAGTATGTATATTCATATATACTTGCAAGGGTTCATTTTTAAACTCCAATAAGTTCCACTATTACTGAATATTTTGCCATGAACATATTTCTATTTAAGATTACTATTTAAGTTTCATCAATAACATAAAGTTTTTTTAAACTTGGGATGCTGCACTAATATTCAATTCTTTGTGTGTGTCTAACCTAATTTACTTTCATATTTATTCTATTTACTAACACAAATAGTTATCCTATTTCCTTCTTAACCTTGTTGATACAATTTATATTTACCGCTTGTTTTTTTCTTTTTTTTTTTGTTTGTTATTAAAACTTAAAACAAAATGTGAATGTTTATTGTCATTATATGCTTTTTAATGATTTTTATTTTCTTGAGGTTCTTCTACTTATGTTTATCTGGTTTAGGTATAAGATTTAAAAAAAGCATCGTCTTTTCTCATTCTAACCCCAAGACACATGGGGCTGATGAAGTAGAGTTCGTCGGTTCATATGAAAGGAAGGTGTGGTCAACACTATGAGAGCTAACCATCAGAACTGGATGGACTCCGGGATGTTCTACTGACTTGAACCCAGATTCGAACTCAAGAAATTCACTTTAGCTCACTACCTCTAGCATAACATCTTTAAGGTGGAAAACGACTGTAACTGTAAAGAAGATGCCAAAACTTTTTTGCACATAGCAAATGAAAGTATGCTGTTTTGTTACATTAATAATTGTACATCAGTGTGTTTTGATGCCGCAACTAAGACGTTTTAACTGGCATAGTCTATGTGTAGTTTTCATGGGTAGAGATAATCCAGATATAAACTTTTTAGCAAATAGCCACCAAGGGCCTCAACATTTTGTTAATTAACACTAAAACAAGGGAAATAACCAGGCTTAGATTATTTTGAAATAAATAAAAACGAAAACCCTGGTTATTTCACCTTGTACCTTTCTCATTCTGGTATAAAAAAACATAATGTAGGATCGACTTCAACGTGCAAGCAGAGTTCCTATCAGAGATTTTTCTCAGATGAGGGGGTGAGAGGAATTTATACTTTCGAAGCCGGTGCGTTATTTAACTTTGCGACAAGAATGGGAGGGAGGGTAGGAGAAGGAATGACGTAGGTTAAAGGTATATATTTTCTATATGATTTAAAAAAATAATCTTGTGTGAGGGGGGGGGGGGTGTCGGTGAGTGTCCCGAGTTGAGATAAATGCCTGAAAGACACATACGAATGTGGGATCATTTGCTTGCGCCTCGCGGACCGATGGTGTACTAAATGCACCTGAGTGCCAGCCACCCACTCAATCATTTGACCAGCAGCACATTGGACTCCTCGTTAGCACAGTGGACGCCCATTAGCACAGTGGACGCCCCATTAGCACAGTGAACTCCCCATTAGCACAGTGGACGCCCCATTAGCACAGTGGACGCCCCATTAGCACAGTGGACTCCCCATTAGCACAGTGGACTCCCCATTAGCACAGTGAACTCCCCATTAGCACAGTGAACTCCCCATTAACACAGTGGACGCCCCATTAGCACAGTGGACTCCTCATTAGCACAGTGGACTCCCCATTAGCACAGTGGACTCTCCATTAGCACAGTGAACTCCATATTAGCACAGTGGACTCCCCATTAGAACAATATACACCCCATTAGCACAGTGGACTCCCCATTAGCACAGTGGACTCCCCATTAGCACATTGGAAGCCCCATTAGCACAGTGGACTCCCCATTAGCACAGTGGACTCCCCATTAGCACTTTGCCATCTATATTTGTTCTAAAGGAACCTCCATGGATTAGGTTGGCTACTACAACCTTATTACCCAAACAGAAACATAGCGGTGCACGGAGCCGCTGCGGTAGTTCAACCAGTGGCTGCTACTAGAGACTTACACCACTCATTACACCTGGGAGATCGAGTAGGGGTATTACACATTACCGTTGTGGAGGATGAATAGCGTACAGTAAAATTATGTTGTTTTCCTGATGCCATATACAAATGTAATTAAAAAAGAATTGCGATAGGCGTGAACTTAAATTTAAATTAGATCACGATCTGAAATTACATTTAGGAACAATTAAATGCTATCAATACGAGTGAATAATTTTTCTTTTTTTCTGCGCTTGCAGACGGGTACACTAATTAAACAGGATGAACAATCTAATTGAAATATTATAAACTTTTCTTTCAACATTATGTTTCCATAAGTCACCCCCCCACCCCTCCCAGAAGATATGCCTGGAAGAAACTTTGATACATTTGTCTCAATTGAAAATATACACCACTGCATAAATAAAGGAAGGGAGGTGACAAAGGAAAAGGACATTTTTTCTTCTGCTTTATCTGAGTTGCTTCCCGTTTTATAATTTATTAAAGTTAATATACTACCATGCAATTCGAACTTGACGGACAGTTTTTAGTAGAACTAAAATTGTTAATTTTTATAATACATTTTTAAGATTAAACAAAATGTAATAAAAAATTTAAATAACAGTATTTTTTTGTTTGTTCAAAACAAGCACACTGAAATTGGGAAAATGGGTTGCCAAGCATTTCCGGTTTAGTAAAAGAAAAAAAGTTCAGACGAAGCTACTACTAGCAAATAGTTACATTGCTTTCTCCCATTTTAACCAAGAACAATTTTCATATTTTTCCTAAAATGCGCACAAACTAAATATATATATATATATATATATATCTATATATATATATATATATATATATATATATATATATATAGCCAAAGGCAAAGCCAAAGTTATAGCCATAGCCATAGCCATAGCCATAGCCATAGCCATAGCCATAGCCATAGCCATAGCCATAGCCATAGCCATAGCCACAGCCACAGCCACAGCCATAGCCTTTACTTAGATTGTGTCAGTGTCCCTTCATAGGCAGACGTTAAAGAAACAGGTGGGCTCTACTTTCTCTACCATGCTGACACAGTCCTGGCAAGTACCCACAACAAAACATGTGCATTGAAGCAATTTACTTTAGCTAGACCTGCTACATTTACATTAACCCCTTACTGTAGTTGCACAAATGTAATATTCAAAGACACAGAAAAAAATACACTGGGGGAGGGAGGGGAAGGGGAAGCGGAAAGCCGGGGGGTGGGGGTAGGACATTATGCAGACGCATGGCTATCACGTGACCCCAACCTAACCAATCACAGCTCAGACATTGCGCAGTGAAACATCAGCAGCCCCCATTTCAGTCCCCACCTCGCAACATTGACGGTCGTAGCTTGTTTTCATTGGGAGATAAAGTGGAGCCCCTATCGTCTTGTGAAATGTTCTACCTTTATTGTTTTATTTGCTGTAGTTCAGTGGGTAAACACATTTTTCAGCATACATCCACTCCAGCCGAGCTTTCATAATAGAATTTCTTGTTTGTGCAACTCTTTGATACAAAGATGTCAACAATTCAAACGACGCAGAGCATGTATTTTCACGTGCGCAATATAATCTTAACGCCGGCAGTGTTGTTAGTTTCTTTATATGGTTTAAAACTAATAAATGTCGTACATAAAATTTAGCTGACAATCACTTTGCAGCATATAACTAACACGGGGGACAACACAACTTATTTCGAGTTCAATAGATTTCAACAATCTTAGCATGGTGAGTTTTTTTTTTTTATAATTAGACAATATGTACCTATAGAACAATATCAAAGTAGTAAGATAACATTATATGCTTGCCAGTCTTTGTATTTTTAGACACATTAAAATATCGCCCAAAGTGAAATGGTGATTCAAAAGCGGACACAACATTGCTATTTTGTCTATTTAATGGACAAATTAAATGTATCTTTTATAGCTTGAAGCCTACTCTTTAATGAAGAAGGTTATGCTTATAGATCTTTGCGGAGGATGTGACACCCTGGGTTATCACATTGAGTGTCACCCATCCTAGTGTCACTATTGATGTGAGCTCGACTTTATTTCTAGACGCATACACAGTCATATGCTCTGTAGGTTTAAGGAGCTTTGAAGAATGTTATCCTTCTTCGTATACATAAGGAACTTTCATCCATCTTTCAGAGACATGGGGTTCAGAGAGGGTAACATTTATATCATGTAATATGTTATATTTTTATCCTCTCTGAGGGTAACATCTATATATATAATTCTCTTCTGGGAGCCGCTAGAAAACAAGCTGTAAACGCTCTCCCTACCTCCCCACCCCTACATGGTCTTAGTGAGCTGTGTTCACTCTAAATGTTTACAAGCAGAGCCAACGATTTTAAACGTTATGGGGGAGAGGGGGGAAGGAGGTGGGGGGGGGGTGTTATGGTCCTTAACGAGCTACTTATAGTGTTTTAAAGAAATATTTTCAGTGGCAGCGTTGGTACTGTCGAATTCACAAATTATGCATTACTGAAAAGTAGAAAATAAAACAACTAAATAGCGGCGTATGTTATGCCGCGGGCCGGCTCGTAGTTTATATTATGTTATGTTATATTTTTATCTGACGTGGTCTAGGTCATCATTCAGCCTGTTAACATGTTAACATGATGTTTTACTTGACTTTGTCATGACAAGCTATTTTGGCATTTGAGATGACCTTCATGACCTGACCTGTTAGTATAAAGTTTTACATGACTTTTTAATGACACATAAACATGCCAGCTTACTTGACTTTGTAG